ACTGTGACAAGCGGGTTGCTATCCTTGACAAGAGGCTGCCGAACCACCTGCTGCGCTGTGGTACGGGGCACGGCCGGACAAACACCCACAACGAGCTCCGCGACGAGTGTATCCGCATGGCGCAGGATGCCGGGTTCGCGGTGCACAAGGAGTGCACTGCCTTCAGCCCGGTGGATAACAAGAAGGCCGATTTGGCCTTCCGGGATCGGACTTCAGGGGCGGTATGGCTGGCAGGCGTAACGATCACCGACCCCATCAGCAAGCGCGATGAGAGAGCAAGGAAGGGGAGGGGCTGGGCAGCACGGGAGCAGGCAGATAAGAAGGTAGGGCTGTACCAGGGCAGGGCAGATTTCGTGGGGTTCTTCCCCTTGGCAGTAGAGACCTACGGCTGCCCCTGCGAGGAAGTACCGACCTTCCTCAAGCTCCTAGCTGACACGGCAGCGAGGAAGCTCTTTAATGCGGACCCCTCTACCTACCAGGCCGCTAAGATGCTTCATCAATTCCGCCAGCGTTGGTCGGTGGCCCTGCAGAGAGCACAAGCGGTTAGCTTCCTCATGAAGCTGAACCTTGCAGCACAGGCGGAGAACCCCCCCTTAGGAGGGCCTGAGGGGGAGCTGAACCCGGGGGACTGCTTTGCTACACTAGAGCCCCCGCAGGGGGGTTGCTAGGGGGTGTGGGTAGTCATCCATATGATTGTTTCTGCTTTTTGTTAACTCTATACGTTGTACTGCATGCTATATCAATAAAGGACCGTTTGAGAGAGAGAGAGAGAGAGAGAGAGAGAGAGAGAGAGAGAGAGAGAGAGAGAGAGAGAGAGAGAGAGAGAGAGAGGGAGAGGCGGCAGCTGCAGAGAACCCGCCTGTAGGAGGGATAGGGCAAGAACTGTACCTAGGGGACTGTTTTACCGTCCTAGAGCCTCTTCTTGAGCTCTAGGTGACTTAGTGGAGTTTGGATAATATAGGCTACCTTGCATGTTAGTACCTGCTGTCTCTCATTGCATGTGTGTACCCTTCTGGCTTATCAATATACGGACCATTAGAGAGAGAGAGGTGGTCGGTTGCATTGCAAAGAGCCCAGTCCGTAGGATACCTTCTCAAGTTAGGGGAGGCGGTGGCAGCAGAGAATCCGCTTGTGGGGGGGATTGGGCAGGAATTGTATCTTGGGGATTGTTTCGCGGTCATTGAGCCGCTCCTCGAGCCCTAGTGGGCTTTGAGGGCTTGGTTGTTCTAGGATTCCATGGTTGTTATCTCTTGCTAGTGTCACTCTGCATGTGTGTACCCTTCTGGCTTATCAATATACGGACCATTTGAGAGAGAGAGGGGGGGGGGGGGGGAGGGGGGGGGGGGGAGGGGAGATATGCATGGAGGAGTGCAGAGTATGCGTGAAGGCATCTCAAATATTCACTGTCGCATGTGTCCCATTAGAGAGAGTGAGAGAGAGAGAGAGAGAGAGAGAGAGAGAGAGAGAGAGAGAGAGAGAGAGAGAGAGAGAGAGAGAGAGAGGCTTAGCCTCTGCCCTCTGCCCTTAGCCTCTGCCCTCGTCCTCTTAGGTACTTAAGTAGCTGTTCGTGCCTCCTCTGCTCATTATTCATTTGTGGGCCAAAAAATTTCGCTCGCGCCGGAGAGCGAGAGAGAGAGAGAGAGAGGCTTAGCCTCTGCCCTCTGCCCTTAGCCTCTGCCCTCGTCCTCTTAGGTACTTAAGTAGCTGTTCGTGCCTCCTCTGCTCATAATTCATTTGTGGGCCGAAAAATTTCGCTCGCGCCGGCCGCCTTCGGCGGCCGACGCTCGACGGCGGACGGCAAGCGCACACAGCGCAAAGAACTGCACTACTGAGTTGACATACACACATGGCATCACACATAGCGGCCTAGAATGGCGGAACCAGATAGAGGGGGGCCCGCAACTACATGCGGTGAGCTCCAAGGGCGTGAAGAACGCCCGTCAGGGAGCGCCACAGCTCCCGGACCACAAGCGTGCTTGCGCCGATCGCCGCGGCTCCAGATCCAGCGCGCAAATGCCGCTTCAAGCTCCGGACAGCCTCGTCCAGCTGTCCCGCAGCAGCAGCGCCACCCTCCGCGGGCGCAGCCAGCACGGGCGCCAGCAGCACGGCGAGCTGGTCCGCCGCATCCAAGCAGGTCTCGCGCGGACGGTCGCGGAACGTCTCAGGAGGAACCACGGGGAGGGACGTGTGAGCAAGAACCTGGATTAGCAGCAGTGCGTGAAGACTCTCCGCCAGGCGGTGGAGCTGGCCGAGAGTCGCCTGGGGAACACGAGTCTGCGGAGGCTGAAGCGCCTCCGCCAGGAACTGGAGCGGCTCATCAGCTTCATACTGAGCCGCCGCTGCGCCACCACCCGCGGCCACAAACTCCACCCCCGCAACAGGCGGAACCGGCGGCAGATGCAGGCGGGAGCCGGGAGCCGGCGCCGCTACAGAAGGAGAAGGAGCGGACGGGGCAGGAACAAGAGGGGGAGGCGCAGCAGCCGGCGGAGGGACAACAGGAGGCACAATCGGACGAGGAGCCACATGCGCTGACGCATCCCGCCGCGAACTGCTCTGGCTCTGCGCCGCCCTCTCCTCGCGCACGGCGCGCGACACCTCCCGCGTACTCCATATTGGCTACCCCACTACAGCCTACCAACATAATACAGTTTAACACTTAGAGATGCTGAAAGCAGGAGCAAGGGGAGGCGGCACGTCCATGCAGGTCGTCTGGGCCTCTGTCACGCTCGCCTGGGATGGTGAGGGGTGAGGGGTGAGGGATAGGACAGGGCGGGGTGGGGGATAGGACAGGGCGGGGTGGGGGATAGGACAGGGCGGGGTGGGGGAATGGGGGGAAGCAGGGAAGGGAATGGGGGGGAAGCAGGGAAGGGGATGGGGGGAAGCAGGGAAGGGGATGGGGGGAAGCAGGGAAGGGGATGGGGGGAAGCAGGGAAGGGGATGGGGGGAAGCAGGGAAGGGGATGGGGGGAAGCAGGGAAGGGGATGGGGGGAAGCAGGGAAGGGGATGGGGGGAAGCAGGGAAGGGGATGGGGGGAAGCAGGGAAGGGGATGGGGGGAAGCAGAAAAGGGGATGGTGGGCAGCTGGGAAAGGGACATGGGGAAGCAGGGAAGGGGATGGGGGAAAGCAGGAAAGGGACACGGGGAAGCAGGGAAGGGGATGGGGGGAAGAAGGGAATAGGGGATGGGGGGGAGCAGGGAAAGGGAAATGGGGAAGCAGGGAGGGGGATGGGGGAATATAAGGGAAGGGGATGGGGGGAAGAAGGGAATAGGGGATGGGGGGGAGCAGGGAAAGGGACACGGGGAAGCAGGGAAGGGGATGGGGGGAAGCAGGGAAGGGGATGGGGGGGTTTGGGGAAGGGGACATGGGGAATGAGAGAGGTAAGCGGTGTGGAGGTGGAAGGCGATTATTAGGGTAAGCGCTACCGTGTGTGTGGGTTTGAAAGGGGTCGTGACTGGTCCAAATGAGTTGGGGAAGGGAGGGTGACGGGCGGAAGGGATGGCGACGGCGGAAGGGAGGGTGATGGGCGGAAGGGAGGGTGACGGGCGGAAGGGATGGCGACGGCGGAAGGGAGGGTGACGGGCGGAAGGGATGGCGACGGCGGAAGGGAGGGTGACGGGCGGAAGGGATGGCGACGGCGGAAGGGAGGGTGACGGGCGGAAGGGATGGCGACGGCGGAAGGGAGGGTGACGGGCGGAAGGGATGGCGACGGCGGAAGGGAGGGTGACGGGCGGAAGGGATGGCGACGGCGGAAGGGAGGGTGACGGGCGGAAGGCAAGGCGACGGCGGACGGGAGGGTGACGGGCGGAAGGGATGGCGACGGCGGAAGGGAGGGTGACGGGCGGAAGGGATGGCGACGGCGGAAGGGAGGGTGACGGGCGGAAGGGATGGCGACGGCGGAAGGGAGGGTGACGGGCGGAAGGGATGGCGACGGCGGAAGGGAGGGTGACGGGCGGAAGGGATGGCGACGGCGGAAGGGAGGGTGACGGGCGGAAGGGATGGCGACGGCGGAAGGGAGGGTGACGGGCGGAAGGGAGGGCGACGGCGGAAGTGAGTGCGACGGGCGGAAGGGAGGGTGACGGGCGGAAGGGAGGGCGACGGCGGAAGTGAGGGTGACGGGCGGAAGGGAGGGCGACGGCGGAAGTGAGTGCGACGGGCGGAAGGGAAGGTGACGGGCGGAAGGGAGGGCGACGGCGGAAGTGAGTGCGACGAGCGCTAGGGAGAGCGACGGGCAGTAGGGCGACGGCGTGAGGGAGTTTGATGGGCGTAAGAGAGTGCGACGGGTGCGTCGAACGTACATGTGAGGCTAGCGCCCGATCCGTGCGCTTGATCCGTGCGCTTCGAACGTAACATGCGAGCTCCATCGACCCTGTAGATTTGGGCGTGACGCATGACGTTTTTCTTTATGCTGGCTACGCATAATTTCGTTGGAGGGGAAAACCGTCAGACTGCTGCAAGGTTCTAGACATCTCGCTGCCATTGTCTAGAAGCGATATTACGCGCTCTTGTGGTCTAGAAAACGGAGCGCACTACGTGTGCTAGACTCAATATGGCTGCACGTAAGTACAACTTGGTTTTCAAGTTTACTGAGGGTGAACAGTGGACCAACTCCCGTTGACACTTCACGCGGAATACTTTTTTTTGTCGCTGGCCAATCATGCATCAGAGTTGTGAAGGAAAGCTGCACTTTGGGTGGTAACCTGGTTTTTGGCGAGTTCATATTCAAGAATCTTGAATTTGAAAAAATGCCATGTAGAACTCGGGCTTTAAAACCCGCAGGCCACTAGTTTCAAGGTTAGTAAGGTCAGCGACCTGTAAAACCCGCGAACCCCGAATCTACTCCTGCCCCACACCTCCCTAGTCCACACGAGTCGTCTTCCGTTGCCGCATCGTGCTGCGAGTCTATCTCGCGCCCATCTTTTCGTCGCACTCCTCTTCCTTGCGTCCCGCCCGTCGCCCTAGCTGCTTACACCTTTTACGCCACGTGCCTTCTCGACTTCGCGATGGCGGGAGAATCCGCGTCTTCCGCCGTTCCGCCTCCACCGCGCGACGATGGCGGCGATAGCACCGCAGCATGCCCCGCGCCGGAAGCCAAACCCCCCGCTTCCCAGTCATCGGCAGCGCCAGCCGCGACAGGTGCGACCGACGCGCAAAAGGCGACAGAGACACCAGAAGCGGCGGCGGCAGAAGCGGCGGAGGACGCGGCGCTGGAAGCGGCGGTGGCGGCGCTGCCGTCGCTGCTGCTGACGCCGGAGCTGGCGGAGGCGGTTGATCATCCGGACGTGGCGGCCATGCGCAGCCTCATGGAGGAGACGCCCGAGGAGGAGGTCACGTGGCTCAGGGTAAGTGCGCTGGAGTCGCGTGCGCATGCCCCGTGCCGTAGCGCGTGTGCACTCCGGCTCGAGACGCGCGCGTCCCCCTGTTACGCCTCCTCCCGCGCGCCCGTCATAACTCACGCTACACTCCATCGCATTACCAACCCCGCGCTTCGTCTCGCGCACGTGCGCAGGAGCAAGGCAACATCGCGCTGAAGGAGGGGCAGGAGCAGGGCCGCAAGGGGCAGCGCAAGCAGCAGCGGCAGGCGTACCTCAAGGCGCTCGACCTCTACTCGCAGGCGCTCGCCGTGCGCGACGCGCACCCCCACGCGGACATCTCCGCGCCCGCGGTGGCGGTGCTGCGCGGCAACCGCGCGCAGGCGCACCTACTGCTGGGCAACTACGGCCACGCGCTCGCGGACGCCGCGGAATCCAGCCGCCTCGACCCCTCCAACGCCAAGGTGGTGGGACGGGGGGGAGGAGGGGGTTGGGCGGGAGAGGGAGGTGGGCGCGAAGGGCCATGGGGAGGTGATGCGGGAGGGGATTGGAAGGCGCTCGTCTTCTGACTTGATGCCGATTCACTCCAGTCAGAACAGCATTATATTGCCGTGCACTCCCCACGTAACCTTCCCCCCTGCCACTACATCCTCTCCCACTTACTCACAACCTGCACCACCCTCTCCCCACCTTTTCCTCCCTCCCTCATCCACCATCCTCCTACATCCCACCCATGCGCCCCACCCCCCTGCCAGGCGCCCTTCAGAGCGGCAAAGGCGTGCCTGGCGTTGAAGCGCTATGCAGAGGCCATCACGTGGTGCGACGCCGCTCTAGCGCTGCCTGGTGCGGCCCCAGCGGACCTGCTCAAGCTGCGCGGCGACGCACAGAGCAAGCTGGCCGTGCTGCAGGCGGCGGCAGCGCGCAGCACGGCCATCCGCAGCAAGGCGGAGCGCCTGGCCGCGTGCATCACACAGCGCGGCGTGCGCATGGGGCGCGCCGCGTACAAGGCACTCAGTGGTGCGCGCAAGCCGTGGGTGGACGAGGGTGGAGTGGTGCACTGGCCTGTCGTGGTGGTCTACCCTGAGGTCATGGGCAGCGATCTGATCGAGGACGCGTGTGAGACGGACACGCTGGGAGCGCACGTGCGGGAGATGTTTGGTGCGCACGCGCCGCCACTGGAGTGGGACACAGCGGGCGCGTACAGTGCAGACGCCGTGCAGCTGTTCCTGCGCACCAGCGCCGTGCCCGCTGTTGCCAGCGCTGCCCTGCCACGCGCCCTGCTGGAGGACGCTGCTGGGCTGACAGATGAGGATAACCAGGCCATGGCGGGTGTGGGCGAGGACGACGGGGATGACGGGCCTGATTGGTCGGGTGAGTGGAGGGCGAGGTGGTTCGGCCTTGCAATTCATGTGCTTGCCTCGCTCACGATCACTCATCATTTTTCCTACACGCATCTAACCTTTCCCCATTCCATCTCTGGCGCAGAACCCTCCTTCCCCATTCTGCCTTTCCATCTCTATGCCTTTTCTCCCTCCGAACCCCTCTCCCTCTCTCTCCTTTTGGCTCTCACTCCTCATACTGCATGAATGTCCGCTCGCATGTGCTCGCCTCGCCACTCAATTCACCCACATGTGCTACCGCTGCAGCATCGGGCGAGCAGCAGTGGGTGCAAGTGCCTCTCGACCAGCCCCTCGCAAAAGTGCTCACGATACCCAATCATATCGTTCCAGGTGTCCCTGGTGAGTCGTCGTTTTGCCACTCATGTGTCGCACGAGTGCTTACTTGCCTCCTTGCCTGATGTTGCCCTCTGACTTGTCCGCATGCATATTGAGCGCCATTCATCTTGCATGCGAGTCTTCACAGCTGTTTATTCTGCTCGCAACAAATATTAGAAGTTACGTTTGTCATTTCAACAGTTTGTTTCTCATTTCCTTTATCCGCACTCCGAACCCCCCACCCCTAATGCCCATTTCCCCTCCCCTGTGCAAATCGCATGCTTCAGTATTTTATGCTGTGTCAACAAGAAGCCCCTTCTATGGCACTTTCACATCAGGCAAATGGGTTCCACCTTAGCATAGCTGTAAGAGAATCACACTGTTTTTGCAATGATATCATGTTCAGAATTAACTGTCAGACAAAAGCTGATGGCCTTATAAGTTCTCAGTTGTCAAGCTATTCCATTTGTGTTTCTGTAGAACAATAAATAGACACTTTGACCCCATAGGTAACACTGACAAGGTTGACTGGATTGTGGTTGTGGGATAGAACGTCGATATTATAGCTTTGTTTGACGTTGGAGAATCTTGCAGACCGTGTACATCGCTCCATCTCAACACCAACATGCAAACAGAATGCTGTACCCTACCAGAACGTCATACACCAACAACACTTTCTAGCAACTATACATGTCCACTTCCAACTCTCCTGCCCTAGAATATAGCACACACTTCAATAAAGGGGCTTCCTCTTCAGGCAACTGGAATCTCGACGGCAGAGGGTGCGGCCTCAGGAGGCGTTTCCTTGGGCATGTTGACAGTGAGCACGCCGTTCTTCATCTCCGCCTTGATCTGATCCGTCAAAACGTTGTCCGGAAGGGCCAGGGTAGTCTGCAAACCCAACAACATTACAAAATCACGTGCGAGTGAAAAATGTAACTTTGGATTGAATGCTGCGGGCAAAAGACACTTCTAGTCTTGAATGCATGTCAGATTATTGTCCTGCAGAAAGGGTCACGACGGAGGCAACTGACGAGACGCCTCACCTGGTAGGACTTGGCGATACGCGCATCCCAGAGTCCCTCTCCCTCCTCTCCGCCCTTCTCCTGCGCCTTGTGCTCGCCGCGAATCACCAAATTGCCATTCTCCAGCTTCACCGATACCTCCTCCTTGGACAGACCTGCACGCGCCACCACCAAAAACGCCAGCAGAGCAAATTGAATTGAAATAAAACTCGTCGCTTGCGAACCAGCAGAAGGAAGGGAAAAAAAAAAAAAATCGGGTATGATACGGGAGGCAGCGCGAGCAGCGCACCTGGCATGTCGAGGCGGATATGGAAGGCGTCGTCGGTCTCGCGCACGTCCCACGGCGTCCTCACCGCCACAGCCGGTCGCGCGGCGGCGCTGCTGGCAGCGAGCGGCGAGGTGGCGCGGAAGAGCGAGGGGAAGCGCGGCATGGGCGGCAGGAGCGCGTCGTCGAACATGCGATCCACGGAGTCGAGAAGCTGCGTCAGCGAGCGGTTCGCCGGGAAGAACGGGTCGAATATGTCTGCCAGGCATGAACGGGGACGATGAGAAGTGTCACAGGTCAAACTTGACGTTATCCTTGAAGTGAGCCGCACTCGGATGAAACAGATTTGCATGCAGAAGAAATGAAGACTCAGGGTGTCATCGCGAATGCGTTTTATCAGCGCGCACTTTACCTAAAAAGGCCCCAAGGGGAGCGACGGCACGGGATGTCAGGTCCCTCTGTCCCCTCCTCTCCGTTGCCATGTGCGTCGCCTCGTGCTGCACTATCTGCTTCTCATCCTGCGACTGCTGCTGGGATTGCTGCTGCTGCTGAGGCTTTTCCGCCGATGCGAAGATAGTGCGCGACCCTGACACGCATCGAGGCGCCTTCAAAAGGTCTGCGTTGGGGTGACGTGGATTAGAGTCGACGTTGAATAAGGGTGCAGTTTTGCGATGCAAGCATTTCCCCGCATGGTGCGCAAGAAACCTGGTTCATTGTCTCAGCCACACGCATAGCGTACCTGGCTTCTTGAGAAGAAGAGGAGTCCTCAGAAGGCGAGGCACGCTGCGAAGCGCAAGAGCAGTTGTGGAAGCCATGGCGACAATCGTCCACAAAATTATATGCAGCACAAGGAGCTCCCTACTCTCGCGACAATATATGATGCCACAGGCGTGTTATTCGTCTCTTGGTGATGAGCGTTGCTGGCTTTTCGAACGTTTGTGTTTGCTTAGCGCTGGAACTGGAAGTATCGAAGAGGCTTTAGATGACGAATTCTTGCATCGGCCTTGCCTCTTATACCTCATGAGAGCGTTTGATGGTCATCACCACCACATTGCATGAAAGCAGCATGCGGTTCCAGTCTCGCGCGCCTCGGTGTTTCCAGAACAATTGAGAAAAGAAGATTTTGTCACACCATTCCTGCTGACGTGGTGCGATTTTCTTGGCCACATGACGCAAATCATTCACACGTCTGCATGATGTGACGCGATCTTTGGCTTTTCCAAAGCCCGATGCGAACACTCGAGAAATATCTCGATCGAGTTGGAGCACATGTTCGCACCGTCAGACGACGATGCATCGGTTTGCATGACGATGTGTCAAGAAAGAATTGCGTGCGTTGTGCGACATTCGGTTGCGTGTTGAGTGCGACAAACATGGTTACAAGTTGGTGTCGTATGCTTGCGGGACAGCGGCTCTCCGTCTCGGTAAGAAACGAACTGTTACACTAGAAGCGCAGTAGCAATGAATGACCGTCTTAGTACTTTTGAGGGACCTGACAATGGAATATCATCATCCTCCAGTAGTTGGTGCCCCCTAGATTATTGTTCAAAATACAGGTGGTTGTGACTACGTTGTACTGCTACAATGACCGCTCCATCCAGTTGGGTAATTGTGTTGGTGTTGCAATCCCAAGTCGCCGCAGGAAAAGTGTGTAAAGAATGTGAAGGAGAAGTGAGAAGGATGCTGAGTTGAACAGCAACTGGTGAGGCCAATTGTCCAACCGACCATGTCCGGAGTGGGGAAGAACGAAAGGAGCATCACAAAGGGAGGAAGTGAAGTGAAAAAAATATTAGGAAGACATTTGAAAACTTACATGGACAAACAAGGGAATTGGAAGGGACCAAGCAAAAGCATGCACCAGACAAGTGATACCCACAAAGCGACACAGCGAGTAGACTTCTTCACGCGGAGAGCATGGCACGTGCAAAAGTAAGCATCACACGGCACATAGTAGAGAAGTGGCGAAACCAAATGCCCCGGTCTGAGGCACTTGATTGGTGGCGGGGTGAAGGAATGCGAGGGAACGCACGAGGGTAGTGAAGATGACAGTGATGAGGGAGAAGGAGGGCACGAGGCTGGCACTGATGCCCGCAAACACATGCGAGAGCGATGCCTGCACGTTCATTAGGATCTGAAGGGCGCACACAGAGGGACGACAGGTGCAGTACGGTGGGGGTGAGGAAGCGGATGAACGAGTTGTTGCGTCGGGAGAGAAGGGTCAGAGTGGGGAGGGAAGGGGAGACAGGGAAGGCAAGAACAGAGTGGGGTGCTTGGCACCATAATGGGAGGTTGGGCGCATGAACGTATGGGGGAAGAAGAATATGGGCGCATGTTTCCTGAAAGAGTGGGTGCTTGCAAACAGACCAGCTTGAGAATGTTTTCTCGAATGAGCCACGAGGAGAGCAGCACAAAGGACACTGCGCCTGCTGCCCGCACCTGAGGCATGCGAGACAGAGACGGGATGGCAGAGGGAGGGAGTGGTTGAGAGGAACGCGGATGGCAACACAAGGGCATGCCTGCAGCAGAAGTACAAAATGCCACAAAATCATCACAGGGGCATGTTCGCTCTCTCAGGGACATGGGCAGAAAGAGTGCCGGCGAGGAGGAATGCGAGCGAGAGTGGAGGGGCGGTGGGTTGCGAGGCAGGCTTACGAGTGTGCAGGCGAGGATGGAGATGGGCCAAGACAGACCGAGACTGCAGTGGAGGGAGGTGTGCGGGGCAGAGAGGACAGATGGCAGGCGTGAGGAAGCAGTGCATGCAGGGACAGTAGCTTGCCGTGAGCAGCAAGGATATCAGGATCTGAGGTCAGGAACTCAAACCTTCAACATGGAATCGAGCAACGGCAGGTGCTTAGGGGATTCCAGCATACACAGACTGGCTCACAGCTACCAGCACAGACAGAAGGAAGGACCAGAAGATCGCACGAGCACACGAGAGTGCTCACCCCCAGCAGAGACCGAGAGTGGAGCCAAGGAAGCCGTGCAGCAGCTGAGACGAGAATGGCACACAGGGGGAGAATTGAATGGGAAGAGGGGCAGGGGATGGAAGGGAGCGAGAAAAGGGGAGGGGAGGCGAGCAAAAGAGGAAACGCGAGGCATGCAGGAGTGCGAGAGGGATAAGGGAGCGAGAGAGAGGAGAGGAGGGCAGGGGAAAAAATGGAACAGAAGTTCAGACAAGCGAAAGGAGAATACAGAACAGTGAAGTGGGGAAGGTGGGCACTACAATTTTGAGGGAGGGATGGTTGAAATAAAAACGCTTTGGAAAGCCGTGGAATTGTGCGTTGACAACAACAGTGTGGGACTTACGAGAAAAGTGATTGCTTTGATGGGACCAGCGAGGACGAGCAGCAGAAATGCAGCCGATATCTGAGTTCGGAAAGGGGGGTGGGAAAGAGGAGCAAGCAGAGTGGCAACGGGGAGGGACGGCGGGGGAGGGAGAGAGAGAGAGAGAGAGAGAGAGAGAGAGAGAGAGAGAGAGAGAGAGAGAGAGAGAGAGAGAGAGAGAGAGAGAGACGGAAGAGACGGAAGATTAGGAGTGGGGAGGTAGGGTTGAGGGAGAGAGGTAGAGATGAAGGCGAAGGGAGATGGGGGGAGGCGGGGAGAGGCAAGGGGAAGTGAGCATGGGCATGGAGGAGAGAAGTCGCATGCTGGGATGCTGCCACAAAAGGGGGCAATGCAAGGGGCAAGACATGAACGTGCTACACACAGCCCACGTGGTTTAGCACAGCTCTCACGCCCAACTCTCATGCCCATACATTCCCTCTTTGCCCGCTCCTATCCCATGTCCTTGATTGTCAACTACCCCGGTCCCCCTTCTCTCGCCTTCTCCTCTCCCAATCTCGCTCCCCTTCCTCTCTCATTCCGCCTCTCCTCCCCCCTTTTCATCTCACCCGTCTCCCTTTCCCCCCTCTTTCCAGCCAGCCCTCTTCTAACCCACTTCCCATTCCCCCCATCTTGCCTTCCCCACCAACTCCCATTCCCCCACCTATTCCCACCCTTACCCCAATCTCGTCCCTCCTCTCCCATCCTCCCACTCCCCCCCCCCCCGCCCGCCCCCCCCAACTCCCCCTCCCCCGTACCGCGGTGCGCAGGCCCGCGGTGGCGCCCCAGCGCATGGAGGCAACAACGGCGGGGAGGGGGAAGAAGAACCCGAGGTAGCCCTCCACGCGCAGCGAGTTCGCCAGGAAGAACGCCAGCCCGGACGTCGCCGCCAGCATCGCCGTCTCCACCATCTGCAGCGTCTCGCGGAACCGCGCGCTGCTCCCGCCCTCCGCCTCCGCGCCCATCTCCGGACCTGCCTCCGCGGCTTCGTCCGCGATGCAGCCCCCACTCTCCGCGCGCGCATCCGCGCCTGCGCCCTCTCTTCCCGCCGCTGTTGTACTGCCCCCGTGCGGCGGAGGTTCCGAAGCTGTTTCTGCCTGGTTCAACGCAGCGGCGGCACCCCTCCCGGGAGTTGCGCTGCCATCGTTCCTGTCCGCGCCCGCGCCCTGCTGCCCTCTCCCTGCCGCCGCCGCCGCCGCCGCCGCCGCTGCGGGTGAGGGGACAACGGGCGGTGGCACAGGAGCAGACAACGGGCGCGAGGACCCGTCTGAGCCGCGGCTTCTCCCCGCGCCGTCATCGCCGCTGCTACCCCCCGCGCTGCCCGCTGCCACGCGCACGCGCCACCGATGGCTGCCCCGTCGACCACTGCTGCCTACCCCCGCGCTTTCACCTCTGCTGCTAATGTTACCCGCGGGGCAGTCGGTGCCACGTGTCCTCCTTCTACTGGACCAGTCAGCGGCGGCAATGTGGCGGCCATGGGGCGCCGCGCGGGTAGGTATCTGCGGCGAGTGGGTGAAAACCCTAACCCTGGCCCTCTGGTTACCCGTCGTCAAGCTTTCGCAGAATCTGGCCTCTCGAGAGTGCGAACTGTGCGATCTCCTGACATACAGCTTGACGTGAGACGGAGATGGTAAGGGATGGAGAGAACGGGAGCAGCGAAGCGGCGTGGGGTGAAGGGGAGCGTTCTCTCTTGACCTGCCATGACCACGTGGGTGCACGTCACGTGCCGATTCGCCGAGAAGTGCTAATCCGCCACGTGTTAGCACGTCATGAGCTGTCGACGGACTACTGGCGAGAGGACGGCGAGTGAGTGTGGCGGAGCGACATGGCGAAAAAAACACTTGCGCCGACATTCGACAAAAACCGCCCGGCCGCACCCGCCTTCGCAAACAGGCCCACAATCCTCAGCCGCCGCCGCCGCCCCCCGTCCCTGCCGTTGCCGCATACGAAACGGCGATCCGCGACTGGCCCGCTGTGGAAGCGATATAACTAAGACTAGGGTTCGTAGTAAGTGCTAGCGCCCCGACAAACCTAAGAACAGCTACAACGAACAACTAGCTTAGAGTGCCCTTATAAAGCAGCAGCATACATTTGGCAATACTGTTTGGCTGACTACAGTGCCCAAAACTATTTCGCCCTAGCGAAAGTGAAACAGCTTGGCGATTGTATCGGCGAAAATCCCGAAGCCCCCCCACCACCTCGGGGGAATTGTGTGCTCGCAAAAGAGAAGCACCTCGAGAGCAAACACCAAGTACTGGTGCCAGGGTACCAATCAGCATAACCATGGGTTCTATTATTAGTCTACCCCACTTGAAGTTCTATCAGGTGCTGGGCTGGCAGAACAGACACCACGACCACTAAACCATTATCTCGTGAGTCCGCAAAAGCTGTCCGACTACGCTACAATAAACGGAATCATTCTACACCTCCGCATGTGTACGTCTGTCCGCTCCCCGCGAAATAACTCCCCCCGCGCGCACTCGCTCCCTCCGCGCGCACTCGCGCCCCCAGCGCGTATTCGCTCTCCCCGCGTGCTCTCGCTCCCCCCGCGCTCACTCGTCCCCTCGCGCACTCGCTCCCCCAGCGCTCACTCGCTCCCCCAGCGCGCATTCGCTGCACCGCACACGCGGGATCCCCCCGCGCTCACTCGCTCTCCGCGCGCAATCGCGGTCTCCGTGCGCGCTCGCGCCCCCAGCGTGCATTCGCTCCCCCCGCGCTCGCTCGCTCGCCCCGTGCGCACTCGCGCCCCCAGCGCGCATTCGCTCCCCCCGCGCTCGCTCGCTTGCCCCGTGCGCACTCGCGCCCCCAGCGCGCATTCGCTCCCCCCGCGCCATTGTCGTTCCTTCTACTCTGCGCCAGGCGCGCCCGCCCCCACCTTCCACCGCTACCCAACCATCCACTATTGTCACACTTCCTTCTCTCCTCTTCCCCCCTCCCTCTCCTCACTCCCGCACTCCCTCCCACCCTCCCTCACCCCTCCGTCGCCCCTGCCTGCCGCATGGCTCTCCCCATCCCTTGGTGTGCGACTCACAGGGGGCGGAGGTGGAACCTAACATAATCTTCTTCGTCTTCGAGCTGTACCAGATCAAGGTGCGCTCCCCCCTACCCTGCTGCCTCCGCTGCCTCTGCTCCCTCTGCTCCCTCTGCTCCCTCTGCCCTCTCTGCTGCCTCTGCTCCTTCCTTCCCCTCCCTGCATCCCCCCCTTTTCCCCCAGCACTGCATCCCCTCCTACCCCTCCATGCATCCCCTCCTTCCCCTCCTTGCATCCCCTCCTTTCCCTCCCTGCATCCCCCCCTTTCCCTCCCTGCATCCCCTTCTTTCCCCCCCTGCATCCCTCCCTGCATCCCCTTTCTTCCCTCCCTGCATCCCCTTCTTTCCCTCCCTGCATCCCCTCCTTTCCCTCCCTGCATCCCCTCCTTTCCCTCCCTGCATCCCCTTCTTTTCCCTCCCTGTATCCTCTCCTTTTCCCCCATGCATCCCCTCCTTTCCCTCCCTGCATCCCCCCCTTTTCCCCCCTGCACTGCATCCCCTTTTTTCCCTCCCTGCATCCCCTCCTTTTCCTCCCTGCATCCCCTCCTTTCCCTCCCTGCATCCCCTCCTTTTCCTCCCTGCATCCCCTCCTTTCCCTCCCTGCATCCCCTTCTTTCCCTCCCTGCATCCCCTCCTTTCCCTCCCTGCATCCCCTCCTTTCCTTCCCTGCATCCCCTTCTTTCCCTCCCTGTATCCCCTCCTTTCCCTCCATGCATCCCCTCCTTTCCCTCCATGCATCCCCTCCTTTTCCTCCCTGCATCCCCCCCTTTTCCCCCCTGCACTGCAACCCCTCCTTTCCCTCCCTGGATCCTCTCCTCTTCCTCCCTGTTTCCACCCCTTACCTTCATTCACCCCCTCTGCTTGCCCCTTTTCCTCTCCATTCCCTCTCCTTCCTTCACTCTCCTCCCGCGTACCATCTCACCCCTGCTTCTTTTGTCTTTTTTCCGTTTTGCTTCCCCAACTTTTCCTCCATTTTTCCCCTAATTTCCCCCCAGCCCTTCATGAGGGTCCCCCCTTGCTAAGCCATTTCCTTGCACACGTGCTAGCCTTCCTTCCCCATGCACACTCTTCCTTCCCCATGCACACTCTTCCTTCCCCATGCACACTCTTCCTTCCCCTCCAGGCTTACACTGTTTCTCCCCTCCTTCTGGTTTCTTACTCCCCTGCCACCCTATCTTTTCCCCCTCCTACCCTATCGTATGCGCTGCCAGTGGTGCAGGCGCTGGCAGGGCGTGTGGTGCGGGGCGGTGGTAGTGCTGCCCACCAGAGACCTGGCTGCTCAGGTGGGTAAATCAAATCCCCCTCCCCAGTAGGCATCCTGCTGGGTGCCTTGCTGTGCTTGCCCTTGGGTGCCGTCCCGAATGCTCGCCGCACTGCTCACTTCCATGCCTACATGCTCTCCCCGTTTTTCCCCCCATCCTAGCGTCATGTTTATCCCCAATTTGCTCCCATGCTTCCTTCGAGCTATCCACAAGAGTCCCCAAGCTATCCCCCCCTTGATAGCCCCATATTCTTCCCGTGATAGTCGGTTGTTTCGTCGCTGCCAGCCCCATGTGTCCCCCCAGCTTTGCCCAGGTTTATACAAGGTGCTATCCCCATGTTTAGAAAGAGGGAGGGTGGTCAGTGCATCACTGCTCCCAGCAGCGTGTGGAGCACTCAGCAACAAAGGAACCGAGCATCCCTCACACTATTACTCGCCTTCCCTTGTCACATCCTCTCCTCCCTCCCTTCCCTCAGCCTTCCCAGGCTGGGTGTTCTGTGCATGAAAGCTCCCAGCAGTGTGTGGAGGGTTTAGCAACAAAGGAACCTCACTGTCCTCACACTCTTACTCTCCTTCCCCTATCACATCCTCGCTTCCCTCCATCCCCTCAGCCTTCCCAGGCTGGGTTGTGAGTGCATGAAAGCTCCCAGCACCGTAATGCTCAGCCTCTTCCCCCCCCCCCCCCCCCCCCCCCTCTCCGCATCCTTTTTCTACTGCTTCTGGCTCAATGGCAGAGGGAGGTGGAAATGAGGATGTTGAAGGTGCTACTGCTGGTGACGGTGCTTCAGGTGGTTGTGCTGGTCCTGGTGATGACCCCCTATGAACTACTTGTTCCCCCGCCCATCGTACCGGCACCTGAACCGTGCCGAATTGCCGTAATACATTGCCAAGCATTTAGTTATCCTAAACCCTGGTAACAAGGAGTAGCACACGGGTTATAATAAAAAGTAGTCAATCTGGTCGCTGGTAACAGTGTCAACCCACCCTGGATTCCTCGGTACCAATCACGTTGCTACTCATATGCTCATGCACGAATGTCCTCATCCGAAAATCTATCTCGTCAGGCACTTCCCATTCGCATACAAACCAATCAATGTCACCCTGGCTGCAATTTTTGTAGCCTTCACTTGATGGCTCAGGATACAGCGAACCTATAACCACATAGACCAACCAAGGCAAAGTCACACGGGCGCATGCATGGCCTCCCAGCAGTTCAGAGTATTCAATGTAACAACGAAAACGATGGTTCTTGGGAAAGATCGGATGAACCTGCGCATCCACCGTTGTGTTTTTACCCAAACACACTCGCACGACATCAGTCACGGTTCCGTTACCCTCACTACTGCTTGCGCCGTCCGCGTACCCAAGCTCCTTCCGAGGCCCCCTCCACTTGAACATGGTACTGTTTCGCACGATGTACAGCGAATTCGGAGGGTGACCAACTCTCGCTCGCGTAAAAAACCTGGGGGGGCAATCCAGTGGGTCGTACAACCCTTCGACGGCGAACCGTGCGTATTGGGTGTGACGTGCTAGCAACCACCGAACCCCTAGACACGGAGATGCCGCGAGTATCAGTACGCGATTCAGTCCTGCTGTCCCCCCGTCGCCGCTCTCCTTCCTCATCTTCATCGTCCTCATCCTCAATACCAACTCTAAAACCAAGCGTCAACCGTCGCCAACGCCCACGACGGTGCGAGAACATCCTTGATTTCTGGCGGGGAACAGCAGAAGGGAGTGGAAAAGTTTGTGAAATGATTAGGAAAACGAACCTGCTGTGTGCGCATGGATAGGAGGGGCTGGAAGGGGAGAGGAGGGGCTGGAAGGGGATGGGAGGGCCTGGAAGGGGATGGGAGGGGCTGGAAGGGGAGAGGAGGGGCTGGAAGGGGATAGGAGGGGATGGAAGGGGATGTGAGGGTCTGGAAGTGGGGATGGGAGGGTCTGGAAGTGGGGATGAGACGGAAGTGAGAAAAGGGTGGTAGGGTGAGAGAGATGGGCGGGATGGGGGAGAAGGGAGAAAATGAAGAGAATGGAGGGAAGGGAGGGAAGGGAGGTAAGGGAGGGAAGGGAGGGACGGGAAAGAAGGGAGAGAAAGGAGAGGCAATGAGGAGAGAAGGAGAGACAGGGGGG